TTGCGCACGCAGAGAGATGAGAATCTCACTCTATCCTGTTCGCAAACTGGGCCTTGTAGCCGGCGACTGGGCTTATTAGCCGGCGAATTTTGCTATGAAAATTCCGTCCCATGATTTGGGCTTAATACGCGGCTGGGCCCATTAACCGTGGGCTTAATAACCGACGACTACTGTACCAGCAATAAAACGAGCTCGTGGTTCAGTGGTTAAAGCGTTAGCCGTCCGTTCAAAAAGATCGCGAGTTTGAGGCTGGGGTGCTGCACGGCTTGGGAGTAGGTATGGCTGGCTGATGACGGCTAATAAGCCAGAAGTGGCCATTCCAGTGTCCCTTGTCTTAGCCGGCGATACTACCTACCTACACTACCAGCTGCTACAGCTGCTGTCAGGTCCAGATAAATGAGACCCAAGACAGAGCAGTACAAGTGAGTTCCGTTAGCGGTCGGTGAACATTCATCAATGAGTATACATTTTATTAGGGGTGTTTGGCAGATTTGAATAATTCAACTGATCCAAATTTTATAAACCCTTCTAATACTTAAGTGAGTCTAGTAGTCATTCTTGTTGGATTGTAGATGATCGCTTAGGAAATCCCGCCTGGACAGTCAGCGTACTGTATCCAGGTTGGTGAAGTTCATACGTGCAATAGGCTGGGTGGGCAAATCGACCTAATTCTAATTAAATTTACCGCTCTCGGAGTGTCTTCGTAGCTCAATTGGTAGTGCGTTGGCTGTATTAATTATACCCTGTTGAGGTGGGTTCGAATCCCACCGAAGCCCCGAATGGGTCACAAGTTGGTCAACTGTTTACGAGTTTAGTGATGCGGGGGCGTAACCAAGAACAGAAAACTGTCGGTAGTTTGAGCAAGATAAGCTATCGTGCGTGAGCCTGTGGTTGACGGGTTATGAGTTTTGCGTGTGCAGTCAGCACTCGTAACCTGCACAAAACGCAACGCAACTTTTGTGAGCATACAGGTGTAGTCCAAACGGCAGTGACTCGTTTTTCCAGGGTCAGTGGTTGTGTGATTCCAAAGTGCAAATGTGCTTGTCCGATTTTAAATAGTTCAAGACCGTTTTTTAACCAAAAGCGGTCCCCACACAAAACACGAATCTTACCAACCGGAAATTAGACTGAAAACGAAGGTCTTCAATCCAGTCCAGTTGTCAAGTCATATTTTTTTACATGCAAGAACAATAAGGTATAAAGCGAGTTCCGTTAGCGCGGTTGGTGAACGCTCATCAACGAGTGTCAATATTTCCTGACCTAAACCGGCAATGTCTCAGTGGTTAGGGCGTTTGACTCTGATCAAAAGTGTCGCGAGTTTGAGCCTGGGGTCGTACAACACTTCGAGTTGGATATGACTGGCTGACAACGGCTAATGAGCCACAATGGCTGCTGTCACGATCGAGAAATGAGACCCAAGGCAGAGTTGGACAAGTGTGTTTCGTTAGCGGTCAGTGAACCTTCATCAACGAGTATCAGGAGGGTTCGGCAGATTTGAATAACTCAATTGACCCAAATCTGCTAAACCCTCCTAATATCTAAGTTAGTGTAGTAGTCATGCTAGTGGATTCTAGATTTATTGCTTCAGAAATCCTGCCTGGTTAGTAAGCTTACTCTATCCGTATTGGTGGATTCCATACGCGCAGTAGGCTGGGCGGGTATATCAACCCAAATCTGATTTAATTCATCGTGCTCCGCGTGCCTTAGTAGCTCAATTGGTAGAGCGTTGACTGTACTTAAGCTTTCCCTGCTGAGGGGGGGGTTCGAATCCCACCGAGGCAACGAATTTTTCCGAATTGGGCCAATTTAAATCTGAAGTTTGTTTACGAGTTTAGTGGTACGGGGGCGTTACCAAGGATAGAAAACGGTCGATAGTTTGAGCAAGATAAACTATCGTGCGTAAGCCTTCGGTTGACGGGTTATGCGTGTGCAAATATGGACATACGTTTTGTGTGCGTAGTCAGCCCTCATAACCTCCACAAAACACACTCAGAGCAACCTTTGTGAGCACAAAAGTGCAGTAAAAACGATACTGACTCATTTGTCCAGAGTCAGTGGTTGTCTGAGTCTAGATTGCAAATGTGCTTGAAAGGAATC